AGAGCTCTTATTCTATTTGTGTCTACATAAAATCGCTTATGACGAGGATTAGTTGGGGTTCACAGTAACAGTTAAAATATAGCGCATGAGTATGCTGTCTGCCATTACGGACGATAACAGAGAGACTCTAAATCCCCTGCTTCGAGTGCATACCCCAGGCTCTTCGGTGGAGCTTGTCTTCTGGGAACACAGGTACTCTAGAGTGAGAAGTCATAGCAGACATGGCTCCATCTTTGTCGTGTATATTTAGGACTAGTTATTGCTGGCAATACATACAGTATTCTTGGAGGAATTTGTCCGTGTTATTTATTCCCAAATCGGACAACAGGCCTCTCGATTTAGATAAATCATGCAGACCTAATAGCTTAACTTCCTTCACTCTCAAAATTTTAGAGAGACTGTTAGACCACCATATTAGAGAGCAACTTAACACTTGCACTCCCTTATATGACACACAATTTGCTTTTGTCAAAGTGAAATCAACGGATTCGGGCTTACTCTATCCGGTTAGTAGAATCGAAAGTGCCTTCGAGGTCAAGCAGATCGCTCAGTGTAACTTCTTGTACATCGAGGGCATTAGTCCAAAGTGACTTAGTTCCTACTACTGTTGGTTGGATCGACGCTATGCTTCATGAGACTGAAATTACATCATCCTTGGGCAATACTCAAGTGAAGATCAGAGCCTTGGCCTCTTAATCAGACTACATGAATGTGGCTACGATATTGTGGGGTACGCGGTAGCCTCTGCTTCATGCCGATATTATTGGAATGACGCCAGGGTTGGGAAAATGGCCTTCTTGCACTTGATCCCAGATACGATCACTGGTACACAGACAGTTCAAGGCTGGAAGACAGTGCAGGTGCAGGTATTTTTGGACCTAGCATCAAACTTGCAATTCCCATGGACAATTTTAAACTGCGAAAAATTTAACCTTGAAAAAAGCTTGAAAAGCGCTTTTTTAGATATCTTTTCACTTAGCCAAGCAGCCATCTGGGCCCTTTAGACAGGCCATGCTCTTTGGATTCCCTTTAAAAAGAGAGAATTTTTTTTTAGAAAATGGAAATGACAACAGGCTATTTTCGGGGTATCTGACAGGTCACAAACAATTGCGATTCCACTTGCCGGCCTTGCCTTGAAGATAAATAATAACTTCATAGCATATTCTGTCACTATTCGACTTTGGCCAGATAAAGATTTATGGACTTTAAAGCTCCAGTGGTCGAACCCTTTTAGGATTCACTAGGGAAAACTAAGGTATCTTGGCCACACAGGGTTAGGGACTCTCTCTTTAAGGGACACACAATATCTTTCAGGTCGCGGTGGCCCTTGTCTTGATGCACCCAAGAATAAGCTAACCAACTAATGTACTAATGCTCTCTGCTATGGTGAAAGCTCTCTGCTGTTTTCAAAGATATAAAAGTCTCATCCAGAAAAGATATTTGTGCTCTCAGCTCGGTCAAAAGCTTTTATAGTTCGCTATGTTATACATATGTATGTCTTAACGCGTTAAGAAGGTGAACTCATTTGCAATAATTTTCACACAGCTTTTTGAACCAAAGTAGCAAGGATGTTTTTTGCCTGAAAATAAATCTGATTCGTGTGCACTCAAACTCAGCTTAACAGTGAATCTCTGAGCTGATGAAGAGCTTTGATCCAACTTTTGAGTATTATTTGAAATTGCCAATCTTTGAAATCATTATAAACATAATAAATAAGATTCATGATTTCTCCATTCGAACGTGATGAAGCTAAATCTGCGAACCAATGAATTTTTCACTTCATTCTCAAAACTTAGTAGATGTTTGCATAAGTTTTTGTTATTTAATGCAAACAATTTAGTTTAATTAAAAATTTAAATTTTATAATAAATAAACGATAAATTCTGCGCTTCGTCCGACTACATGTGCCAAACGCATAATTTAGAAACTCGTTTATTTGCTTGCTTTTTGAAAGTCTAATTCCTTATTTAAGTATACTCCAAAAATGCATATTAAAATCTTTACATTAATTACACTACATACAATATTTACAAGTTTACGCGAATTTAGTTTAAATTTAATTTTTCAGTATTGAATTGTTTATATTTATTGTATTTTAAATAGTTAAATTTATATTATTTGCTCCTAATTGCTTTTTAATTTTCACATTGCTTCTAATTCTGCTCGTAGTTTAAAATTAAACAATGCCTTTATTTTATTTTTTTTACTACAAATTTATGAATTTTTCTTTTTATTATTTTTTGGAAAGAAATTTAAAATAGCTGCCTTTAAATTGCATATTTTCGTTTTGTTTACCTTTTTTTTGTATTCATTTGTTGCACTCATTCTGCCAATATTTTATGTGTGCTTAAATAAGTATTCTTATGAAATTCTATGGTCATGTCTTACGCTTTTTGTTTTAAAGACTTTAATTTATATTTTAATGCTACATTCGTACGAAGTTATTGTTGTATGTCTTCCTGTTTATATTTTTGTTTTTGTTTTGTTATCCTTGGTGCATTTGATATGACGTTCATGTTGACTACTACATACATACATAAATGAGTATACATAAGTGAGTATATGTTATGATAGGCCCAATCCATCATTTTCTTGCAGTATCCTCGGCGGCTGAAAATAAAATTTGAAACGTCGTATATTTATTACTTTAAGAGCGCGCGGAAGTATCAAAAATGGAGCTACAAAGTTTTGGAAAAAATTTGGTATGAAATATTTTATGGAAGTGTTTGAAAAAAAAAAAAAATAAAACTATTTCGATTTAAGTACTTGGAAGAAAATTTCTAATATATACATTTTATTTCTCAAAAACTTCATAGCTACTTTTTTCTAATTTATTTTCAATGTTTCTTGTGCGGCCATTTACTCACCTCGATTCTATGCTAATCAAATTTAAGTTGCCGCTCGATAAGTGCATTTTCTTCCAGTCGTGTAGATATCTCTTAAATATAGGCTCCTTTCGTATTTATGACCACTTCTGTATGGGTATGTTTGATTCTGGTATTTCACATAGACATTTATATTTTTTATAGCGTTTTTTAATAAACTACATACTTAGCTATACATTTTATAAATGTGCGTTTGAATATTTTCGTAAGTCACTTATTTTATTTAAAATTTTTTTTAACACTTTTGAAAATGGAGTCTTTACTGATTATTCAAAATTACGTATAGAGAAAATTATTAAAACCGATTTGTTCTAATTTTTTATGTAAAAGATCATACCGCAATATATTTGAGAAAATTGTTAAAAAATAAAAAAAATATATATATTAAAAAAGAAAACCAAAAAATACAAAGATAAATTAAAAAAAAATTTTATTATTTCAAATAAAAACGCGGACGCCTGAGATTCTCAAACATAAACATGCATATTTTGAATTAAAAATTCCTTGAGCTAATTTTAAACACAAAAATATATTTCAATAAAACCAAAAATTTATTTATTTTTATCACTTTTGTATATTTGAGAACTTTTCCTTTTGCCTTTTTTGTGTTATAAATTAATGTAAATATATATATAATCGTATACGTATACTTAAGTAAAAGAAAATACTACGTAATAATGAACAAAAACTATATAGAACCAAATTCGTTTGTGTTTGACTTAAGAAAGAAATTAAGTTATTTAATAGAAAAAAATCTTACAAAGCCAACGATATTTCTTTAAAAGCTAAGTATTTACATACATACATATATTAATAAAAAATTGTTTTAAATTAATATTTATGAAAATAATTAAAATTGCATGCAACTTTTTAAATAAATTTTTATTTTGAAATTAAAAAGAAAGATATAGCAAATTAAAATAAAAACTTAGCGGCGCTAAGAAAATCAATACCTTTCCATCAAAATTAAAAGTTTGATTTGAATACAAAAATATTTTAAGATTAATGTTTGGAAAAAAAGTTAAACTTTAAAAAAATTCTAAAATTAAAAGAGCTTTTGAACGCACTTAATTTCTATTGCTTTATAGACTAAAATGACTTTTTTGCGATTTTACTTATTCAGTACAAAAAAAAAAATTTTTTACCAAAATTCGCTTTACTTTCAACTTTTAAAATTTTCCGTTTCAATTTGAAATCGACGTAAAATTTAATTTCTGTTGCATTTTTCATAAATTTATCACCGCTTTTTATAGGAAATTTAACTTAAACATATTAATTTTTTATATATACAGCAAAAAATGTATACTCAAATTTCGTTTAAGGTTATGTTTGTGAGTAATTTATTTTTCTGCATTAGTTTTCTTGTTGCTTTTATTTAAAATTACATTTTGAGTTGCCATTTCTACTATTCTTCGTCGGCCTTTGACGTAATTTACAAAATTATAAATAAAAAAGTTAAATTGTTTCTAAATTTTAAACAAATTTCTTGCTTGGATACAAATGTTTTTGAATTTAATAAATTTATGTGTTTTTCAATTAGGTTTTCTTATACTAAATTAAATTTTTGGCAAATTTAATTATTTTGCAAATTTTATTTAAAAATTTTTTTTTCACACCCAACATTGCTTTAGCATTTGCTGCGGCTAACAAAACTTGACCTCATTTCCACATTCAATCACCCTTTTCTCTTTATTCTTAAATATTTATTTACAGCTAAAATTAAAAATTTATTTCTTCTACACTAATTTAATACTTTACACAATCTACATTTGAATGTAGCTGATTTGTTGTTTGATTGAGTTTTTTCTTAGTAAGTTTGCAGCAAAACCAAAAATATTTTTCGGATTTTTTTTTTCAGAAATATTTCACCGTTATTTCTTCCTCAGCTGGATTGTTCATGTCTTTTCCGCTGTTTTCTTCTTCTTTTCTTCTATCTTACAAATTTGATTTTGTTCTATTCGATTCGTGTTGAGATGAAATGACTGCTTTCAACGTGCTCTGCACTTTCGGTAATACTTTTGTTTGATTCTTCTTTTATTCTCTTTTTTTCTCTTCTTAGTCTATGTATGTCAAATGCTTTCTTGTATGTGTTCTTAAATGTAATGAGCGTTCTACTATAGTACTCGATCTTAGACGATTTTTAAAATTCCAAAGATTATCTGTTGTTCGCTGCCCTGTAATGGTTCTACAGTTGAAAATACGTATTTTTTTATATTTTATTTTTTGAATATTTAGTATTAGAATTTCTGAAATAAAATTCACTCAATGAAAACATTATTTCACCACACAAAAAGACAAATCAGAAATTTCGGTTGTACTGAGCCTAAAAGCACTTGAAAAGTAGAAAGCCTTTGGAAAGCTCTAACCTAAACACAAAACCTTAAAATCAGCGATGGGCAGAGAGCTTTTACTCTGCACGTGACTATACAAAATGTATAGAAAGCTTAATATATATAAGCGACTATAAACTATTCACACGCACTTATTGAACGAGAAAACGAGTTTAAAAATACCATACATAATCGATAATCGACTAACAGTCGTTTATCTACTACTAGTCAACACTCGCAATAGGGGTGAATGACTTTTTCAACTATTACTGGAAGCCTTGGCGTAAACATACGCTCGTATGATATGCAGCTTTCACAAAATTAAAAGCTTTCACAAAAAATCTGTCATTTCAAATGATATTCAGTTTCTGAAAGTAAGCAACGACCAGAGAGAGCTTTTCGTCGTGATTGGTATATGAGCAGATTTTACTAAAGCCCAGGGCTTACAAAAATATGAAATCAAGTGAGTGCTTAAATTCGAAAAGAGTCTAAAAATGCATGAAAACTAGAATTAGGCATTGGAAGCGCATTGACACACTCCAAAGAATTCAAGCTTACGAATTTTTTAAGTTCAAGGTAGCAGAAAATTTATCGAAATGAATGAAAGTTCATTAAAATTGTCAAAACGTGTTTAAAAGCTGCGGAAAGCTTTACGCGATTTCCGAATGCTTTCATCGCTAAACACATTTATTTACAGCTTTCACCAGAAAACAAGCTTTCACCCAAATCCATAGTTTTTAAATATAAGATAGTGATTACGTACAGCTTCTTAAAGCCTTGCCCAAGCTCTTTTTGAAAGATTTCACAAGAAACCAAGCTTTCAATCAAATACTAAAGTTCCAAAATTATACTCTCAAAAACTACTCCCCCTGGCTATTACTACAGAAAATAAAAAAGCTCACTTACCTTTCTGGTTAAATCAGGCTTTTATACTTTCTTGACTAACTTAAGCAAACTGTTAATTTTTCATTACAGGTCAGCGAAAATTGTGTTGATTGCAGATTTTTGAATTTCGAAAAATTATAGTTTTGTGCAAAGTATTCATAAATTGTCTGGTTGATGCTCGTATTATTTAGTGGATGAAGTGAATTGTGATTAATGGTTTTTGTTCTTGATACATTTTTTGTGCTGCTACAAATTAGTGAATTATTTTTGTATGTATTTATTTACAAATATTTGTTTTTTTTTTTGCAGGTGAAGTTGATTGCTGTGCTTTTGTTTTTCTAATATCTGTACCAATGAGCCTGTAAAATTTCAATTGATTTATGTATTAATTTAAGTCGATTAACTGACCTAATTGTGAGTGTGAGATATGTTAATCGGTTTTCTTAGATTAATCGATTAATCGTTTTAGCTGAGATACTGAGATATATTGACGAATACACAACTTAGTGATTCGACGACTTACAACAAATATGATAGCCGGTTTATTTTATTATGACTGCTTAAAAAACTGTTGCGTAGATCGATTAATCGTTTAAAATGCAAGTGAGTGAGTTGTATGAGTATATTCTTAGTGAAATCTTATTTTTGCATGTATACGTAAATTTTTAATTGCTAATTTTTGAAATACTAATATTTAGTAATGCCTTTTAATTTTTGTTTCTAATTTACTCAAATGCCTTTTTGTTGCTTATACTGAAGTAAGCTTAATACTATTTGCATGAATATTTCATTAAATTTTGTTTTAATACTAATTTGCGCGATTCATTTTGATTGGCGTTTATGCCCTCTATGAGTTGTATGCTTTTGAGAGTTTATTGTAAAGTTATATTTTACTCGTGCTGTGGCTTTTTGAAATGATTTTTTAAATTGAAATACTGTTTTAAACAAAGAGTGTTGAATAACAGTGATTATGTGTGAAATTCAGAAATCCTTCCAGCGACCTTTTGCCCTTGATCAAATGAGAACACTTTGAAACTTGTGCTTAAAGCTTAAAGGGCTTTCGAAAAGTGGCACTCATTAATAGTATATTGGCAAAGACGCTGCGGTTCCCGGTTGGACTCACAGAGCTTTCCACCTTGCACTGTGTACATATATAGAAAGTTTAAAATTAAAAAGCTCGACACAGGTGGCTATGAAGTGCACCTATGCATGCGAGCCGGATATTTTTTAGCTTTAAGCTTTTAAGTGGGCATTTTCCAACGGCATACAAAGCTATATAGAATTCTACCTAGAAGCGGTATTGCTATAAAGATATACATTTTTTGAGACCTGAAGCCGGAGCAGAGATGAGCTCTCAGGCAAAAATGCTTGTCGGTTCTGGAAAGATTTCTGAAAACTTTTTGATATATGAGTCCAAAACAATTTAAAATAGTTTTCAAACAAATTTCGATTTGCGACCTTCGACAAAATGACTTTTTGAAGTAAATAACTTTCTCAAGACACACAAATATTAAAAATTATATTATCCTATTAGACACCAGACAGTACAAGAATTAACTCTTTACCAACAACATTTAAGTAAAGCCATATTTATGAGCTATTATTTTAACTGTATCAAAAGTACCTTTCAAACGCACCTTTCATGTCATTTAGAAAGCCCTAAACATCACAATGCTGTTTCCTCTTTCGAGCAGTTCGAATCTTACTTATGTAATAGTAAATTAAATTCAATCACTCCTTTTGGTGCACCCCTAGCTGAGCACACTTGCTGAGCAATGCTCGTCAGCGGCCGCATTGATTCAGTAGAACCCCTTGCCGCTGCTCACCATACTCAACACCGTTGCACCCAATTTCCAACTAAATCACATTAGTCATCATTTCAATGTATTGTAAATGTTATCGGCCACCTCCTCCAGTTCGTTGGCGATGCTAGCAGCTGTAGCCCCAATATTGCCGCTGGCATTGTGCGGTTCATAGGCTGTCGGTGTGTTACCCTCCAGCGCCACTGTAGTGACATGCTCGCGACTCTTGCTACTGCCCGCCTTGCTGTGACGCTTGCCACGTTCACGTTGTTTTTCGTTGCCAAGCGGCTCGTCGCCCAAATAAACGGTGTGATAGCTCACTGGACTGACAGAGTTGCAATTGACTTGTACCCGACTAATCGCCAAGGCGGTGGGTGCCGAAGCGTTGACAACAGTTTGTCCACTTGTTGACTTACTCAGAGCGCTGCCGCTGGTTTGGATACTATTCGGTTGAGCAGTACGCTCAATCGCTGTGTATGTGAGCGAGGCATAGTCGCCGTAGTCGTCGGAAATCTGCGTGGAATGTGTATCGCCGGAGAAGGTGTCACGTGTAGTTGAACTGCAAATGCCACCCATGGCCGAGACGGTGGTGCCAGCGGTCGCTGCTGCTGAGACTGATGTTATGCCCGCCGCGTGATGACTAATATTGTCGTGACAAATTTCCGCATAGATATTCTCTTTGTTGTAGTCGATCATATTGAGCGCCTGACAGATGTTGCCTGTTGGATTGTCCGATGCTGATTCGTCGCTCGAGAGCACCAGCGAATCGCGCACGCTTGAATAGGGCAGATCATCGATCAGGCTGGTGGGTGTGAGCGGTGAGGCGAGCGCCGAATGGTGGCCCAAAATGCCAAGACTGTTGGCAACGCCAGCGTTACCAGCGAGTAGTGAAAGTCCACCGGCAGCGCGTCTGCCTGTCACCGGCTCGCCAATGTTGAAGTCCAGACGCCTGTCAGCGACGGCTGCTGGCTTTCCAGCTACGCTACTACTGCCATTGTGCTTTAGCTGCGCCATCGAGCGTTTGTTGTCATGTAGCTGCATCTTTTGTGGCAACGAAAAGTTCAGCAGTTGATGCAGGCTCGAGGAGGATTTGCTGTACTGGCGCGTTTTGACGTGGAACTCATTATATAGCTTCTCAGTTATAAATGACTGTGGTATCAGGTCCTGGTTATCAAGGTCCTCCAGGTCGGTGCCCGCTTCGGAGATGGTATCGTTTGGCAGCAAGTCGGGCTTGCGTGCCGCAGCGCCGCCGCTAATGAGCTCGATATCCTGCAGCGACATTGACTTTGTTATCATTTTATTGCCACTCGTCTCTACCTTTCTCAGTTTCTCATCAATGGTTGCCAATGTGGTGGTCTCCGTATCTGAGCAGCCGATATCCGAAGCGCCACCACTTGGTTCGGAAACAGATTCATGCGCATCATGAGTTTGCGCATTTGGCTTGTCACCGAAACGTTCCTGCAACAGCTTTGACATATCCGAATAGCGCTCCATGCTCATGCGCTTCGCTTGCACGTCCAATTCGTAGGAGGTCAACGTGTGCGCAGCGTGCTTGTCTTGCTTGCGGAACCACTTTTTCTTTGTCGACTGGAAAACTTTCATTTTCTCGGTAATGCGGTTTGCACTGCTCGCCGCGCTTTCGAAAGCTGCCTGCGCTGCAGCTTCCTTCGCCTCCAGATTGGCGAGGTCGGATTTGCTAAGAAATATAATTGAGTCTTCCTTCTCATGCGCCGGAATTGTGGTCTTCTCTCGTCGCAACAGCTTAGGCAAATGCAGTGGCTTGAGGATTTTCAAACCTTCGCCACGGCTCTTGGAACCCGAGCGCTCCGGACGGTGCAATATTTCCACTTCAACCATCTTTAAGAACTGATCACAATTGAATTGACAAAATTTGAGTATATTTTGCACATTGGGATTGGCGAGCATGCGTTGTTCGCTTTCGAAACCAAGTGAGCTCTTCAACAAATTCATCTCTTTGGACAGATGCAGCTTGCGTAAGTGCAGTGGACTCTGCACCTCCACATCCTCAATGGGACAGGCGATCACCACATTTTCGGTGGTTATGTGTGTGATGCACACATTTTCGGGTATCGCGCTATTGCAGCCATGTGGACCGGAAATGTAGCGCAGTGTCAGCGGCAATTCGCGCTGTGGCGTTATCAACGCCGTTATGCGATGTACGCAATCCGGATTGGCCTTTTTATTCGCCTCGTTTCCGATGCCGCCAAGCTTTTGTAATATTTGTGGTATGCCTGGCTCGATTTCATAGAATTTGCCCTTTGTGGAGAGCGAAACGTACAACACCTGCCGGTTCTCGTTCAACAGCTGTGCATAGCGGCCCTTTTCCTTTTCACGGCCATGATTGTTATTCGATTTTGCGGTCACACTACCGGTACAACCGATCGTATTGGAGTGGTCTTGCTTGCCATCCTCGAAAACGGCTAGCAGTCGGAATACTTGACCACCCCGTGCCGTAGTCTTCACATATTGTGGTCGATTGTTGGTCGGTGGTGGCGGTGGTTGGGTGTACATGGGTAGACAACTTTCAGCGGGTGGGTTATTGACGTTGGGCTGGGACTCGGTAAAGGCGGGCATATTGTCGACTGAAACGAATTTGTATACACGTTCGCGTACGAGCTGTATTAAGGAAGTGTAGAGGGTCGCCGTTGCTGTGCCCTTGTCATTGAGCAGAGAAAAGTAGCCTGAAAAGAGAGAAATGAGGAAAGTGTTAAATGTGATGCTCTACAAGAAGGTGTTTTAAGCTAGAAAATTTGGGGAACTAAAAACTTCTTGGCGGAATTTTTCAACTTTTGAAATGATAATATTGAAGGAAATACCTAAACACAAAATTTGGCCGGTAGGTGGCGCGAAGATCTAAAGTTTGAAAACCTGCATTAATGGTCCGACTTAGTTTATATTTAGAATAAACATGTATGTACATACATTAGGGCAGGTCAGTTTTTTTCCTATGCGAGTATAGGATTCTAATTCTAAGCAAATTTACTGAAGAAAGTATGGGCCTTTGCAAAATAGGTTTCCAAGCAAATGTGAAAATGTTTACTGTTGCGCTGTTGCGAAAAATATAAATGTAGAAATGGATTGCTCATACCAAAAAACCATTATAGCATGTTTTTGTACAAAATTAAGGAATTTTTTACGACCCTACAGCAAAATGCTAAGAGATCTATTTTCGAAATTTAGCAAACTCCAAATTCAGATTCCGAAATTCGAATAACTGCACAAAAAATGTTGGCATTTGTTAATTTTTTATTTGTTTTTTGTATTAACAACTAATTAAAGCCAGCCTTAAAAAAATTCTTTTTTCAATTACTTTTTATACCCGAGCGCACTTGTGCACAAGGGAATATTAATTTTGTTCACATAACGGTTGTTTGTAACAGCCAAAACGAATCGAGATAGATATAGACAAATGTATACATAAATGATCAGGATGAAAAAAGAAATCGATTAAGCCATGTCTGTCTGTCCGTCCGTCTGTCCGTCTGTCCGTCTGTCCGTCTGTCCGTCTGTCCGTCTGTCCGTGTACACGATAACTCGAGCAAAAATTGAGATATCTCAACGAAATTTGGTATGTAGGTTTCCCTTAATCCAAGGTAGGTTGGTATTGAAAATGGGCGAAATCGGACTTTAACCACGCCCACTTCCCATATAACGGTAATTTCCAGAAATACGAAAACTGCGATATTTTAGTAACTACTGAAGATAATTCACTCAAAATTGATATTTACAATAATTTTTAGACGAAAAATAAGAATATTATAAATTTTTGGAAAATGGGCGTAGCCACGCCCACTTATGGTTACATGTGTATATCTTGGTAACCGCTGCACCAATTTCTTCCAAACTTGGCACAGTTATTGGCCTTCGCATAACATACCAAATGGCCGAAAATTTTTAAAATCGCTCAATAACCACGCCTACTTCCCATATAACGGTAATTTTCAGAAACACGAAAACTGCGATATTTTAGTAACTACTGGAGATTATTCACTCAAAATTGATATTTATAATAAGTTTTAGACGAAAAATAAGAATATTATAAATTTTTGGAAAATGGGCGTAGCCACGCCCACTTATGGTTACATGTGTATATCTTGGTAACCGCTGCACCAATTTCTTCCAAACTTGGCACAGTTGTTGGCCTTGGTACAGCATAACAAACCGCCGAAACTTTTTAAAATCGGACAATAACCACGCCCACATCCCATATAACGGTAATTTAGAGAAATACAAAATCTTCGATAAATCATTAAATATTGAAGCTAATTTATTCAAAATTAATGCTTGCAACAATTCCTTACCAAGAAATACGTCTATGGTAAAATTTTGGAAAATGGGCGTGGCACCGCCCACTTATGATCACATATAAGTATGTCGGTAACCGTTCTACCAATTTGTACCAAACTCGGTATGGTTATTGTACTTGCCACGTGTAAGCAAAACGTTGAAAATTATTGAAGTCGGACTAAAATAACGGCCGATTCTCATATAACGGTAAATTTAAGAAATGCTTGAAACTTCAATATTTCGTAATTGAAGGACGCTAATTTACTCAAAATTGATACACCTCGGCTTACCATCTAGCGGAAGGTTTCAGAAGGGTGAAAAAACATATATTTAATACTTGCGCCGGGTATTTAATGTTCGGCTCCGCCCGAACTTAGACTTTCTTACTTGTTTTTTTTTCGCTTCAGTCGGTGTTGTAATGAACAGCATACATACATACATACGCATGGTTTTGGAGGGTAAGTTAAATTTTTTGTGTCGATTTTTCGCAAAGGTTTCAGAGATAGACTTAAGTCTTAAGTTTATAATCAAAAACATAACTTAACTGAGAAAGAATTAACAAATCTAATTAAAATTATTTCATTTCTACTCTCTATTCCAACAAATTTGGCATTCACGGGAAGAAATTGTCTAGCACTTAAAAATCCTTTTTAATTTTTCTTTTAAATAAAATACTATATTTATTTGAACGGTGCTATATTTCTTCCAATTTTTTTTTTTGAAAAAGTACTATAAATATCTTAGAAAATGTTGGCAACCCTAGTTACAACCGACAAGTTTTACGACTCAAGGGCGGGTATCTTTGGTATTTTAGTCAGTAATACGGGTATCCAAGAATATGTATCATATCAGGAAATTTTTTCAGCTTGCTAGTTTTAGATTTTGTAATTTTTTTTTGGCGAGTTAAATTTGTTGGTAAAATTTTTTCCTTAATAGCTAACCAAAGACCATTTAAGCAACGAACATAAATATAACAAATCAATAACTTCATATGCAGGGGAGACCTTTCAACAACTCCATTAAATATGAGGCTGCTGTTTGAACTGCATTAAGTAATTTGCAATTAGCACGTAAAATGGAAATGTTTAATGGGGCAGAAATATGAAAGAACCGGAGCAAAGAGATTATATTTGAAGGGGAAGGGTAACTTTAAGCCGCTTGCCTACGGGCTAATAACTACTAAAATTACTAACAATATGTATGTACATTAGGTTGGTCATTAAAAAATTAATTGAACGACTTTTTTCAGTGTCAATCTCAATCTCAATCGGTAATACCACGGTCACAAATATCACATATACGTTTTGGTCCCAATTAGAGATGCTTAAGGCGTTTCATCGTGCGGATTCCTCTATAGGGACTCAAAAAATTAAAATTAACTTTTTTTTTCATCTAGTACTCAAAATCGATACTAACATAGTCCAGTGGTTGCGATTGGAGTCGGTTAAAAAGATGAAAAAAAAATATCTAAATTTTTTGAGTCTCCATACAGGAATCTGAACCTTGCCTGAAGAAAGAGACCAAAATTTAGTTATCCTCGACTATACTAGTATCGACTTAGTGTTTGGGGCTTAGGAAATCTGATGTAAAAATTTGATTCCTATATTTAAGGAGCACCCTAATGTACATAAATATATACGTACTACGAGTACGGGAAGAACACTCAAGGCAGCCATGTTGTTGGTTAAACTTTAAGGCCGCGTTGGTACAAATGGAGGGTCATGTCACTAATGAGCCAATATGTTTCAAAGTTTACGAAGAGGTACGCGCCGCACAAGTATGTATGTATATGCGTGCACGTACATACGAATGTAATACGAGTATTTACTACGTTGCACTATGTTGTAGTTGTTGTACGTGCGTGCGGCATGTAGCGCAGAGAATATTTGATAAGGACTTTGGGATATTTTTGAAGTGCTAACCGCTGAAAGGAATCGGTATATCGTTGAGTATCAACTCGTTGCATACGAGTATTATACAGACTTATTATATACTTTTATTTTATATCAATTAACGAGGTGGATTTAATTGCTCAAACATTTGCTGACTTTTCGCCAGTGTATATAATAAATAATGTGCGCGTTAAATTCTTGATGGTGCTACTTATTTTCAGGGGAAAGTGGTAAGCTTAAAATGGCCACCATGGCAGAAGAAATGTGTTCGCAAGTACACCACTGTCAACTCTTCAACCAGCCAGCTGCCTACATTCAATCGTATTTTGTAGTATACAGAGACGGCCGGGGGAGGGGTCAAGCATTCTCCGATAAATTTTGATCTCACTGTAGGTGAGTATAAGGTCTATAGGCCAGTCGCTTGGCTATCAAAATAGAACGTCTGATTGAAGTAGGCTTGGAAGTCAAGGCTTGAGGCTGAAGGAAAGTTTATGAGAAAATACGTCCCCTTCAGCTCTAGTGCACAATTGCTGCCATACTCTTATTGACCGTTGGGAAGATGCCTGTAGAGAGGAGCCACTTGGAAGTAGCACCGCAATGTATACACCGATTTCGAGTTTCGCTAGGTAAAGGCTATTTTTTAATCCTTAAAATTTTCTTTGAGGAACCAAAGAACAGTGTAGACTCAACACAAAAAAAATAAATTCCAGTGCTTCATAGCAAAGCGTCGTGACCGCTCAAGCGTGAGCAGAGGGCCAAGAAACAGAAACTGAAGAAAGTGTGTTTTAGCGTTAAAAATGTATTATAGACTAAGAAATTTTATCAAGACAACTAGGCAAGTGTGAACACCCACAATGAAGCGCAAAGAAGTTGAAGATTTTTGCTTATTTTGGCTTAGTATTGCATACTTTTAGGCGATTAGGTTATGTGGTGACTATAGCTTCATTTCTTATGGTTCTAGATGTAAACATTTATGCCTAGCAGGGCCATTCTAGCAACTGGCTTTCAATTCTGGCAAATATCTTGAAAGCTTTTTTTATCTTTCAAAAGACTGATTTAAAAATCTGCTAACGAGCGTCTTAGCGTTTTTCTGTTTGTGTTTTCTAAAAATTAAACGAAATTTAAAAATATATACATCTTTTTAAAATAAAAATTTAAAAGAAAATTTAATTAAAAAAGGAAACAAAAAAATCAACTGAAAAAAGAAAAAGGAACAATAAAATAAGTTTCTAAAAATTAAAAAAAAAAATTAAAAATATGCTTCTTCTTATAACAACAAAATCTAAATATTAAAATAAAAAAAAAATAAAAATTACTGAAAAGAGAAAAAATGAACAACAAACAAGTTCTCAAAAATTTATTACAATTAAAAAAAAATACTTTTCTTTTTAAACAAAATCTAAAAAGGAAAGGGAGATTACAAAAATATTATTTCTTTTAATACAATAAAGTCTACAAATTAAATTTTAAAAAAGTTTATAAAATTTTTTTTTTAGATAAAA